AAGCATCCTGACTCACCTAACCTGTTAGAGGGGATCGAGAGAGAGAGAAGATAGGGGACTGGAGGGGTGAGTAATTTAGATTACCCAGGAGAATGAACCTACACTATCCTATCAATGCACCACAACTTAACAAACGCTAAGTTCAAGCCTAAAACAACACCATAGAAAGTCCTAAAGACTTCACACAATAACCTAGCTTCATAGGTAACGCCACTGCAAATACCCGGACCACACAATGATGACTTACACTGTGGCATTTGGGTTGCATCCTCCGTAAATTTATAGTCGCTACACGACTAGCCCGTCGGCCATGCCTTGAGAGCGCTACGTATAGCCATGACTCCCATACCACATGAGTATACGCTGAACCATTTTGAACAGCCCCATGTGATGTCATGTCCCTCAGTACCCCCTCGCATATTGCCCACGTAGCTCAGCGACTATCCTCAACTTCAGCGTATCGATTGCAGACCCAGGCATTGCTAATCTCCACCATCCATCTCGGACCCCAAACAATAGTTCTCCACTCAAGTATATCGACCACGGCTCCTTTGCCTTATGATCTCAACTCTCATCTCAGACATTTCACAACACATAGTCTCAATAATGATTTCACACAATACCATATTAAGTTCATATCCTCTTTACAAGTTCTAGGCGATCACACAATCACAGAAGAGATCCAAACAGCAATCAAACAAGCAAAGTGTTTCAAGCACAAGTAAAGGTTCATTTTAAGTCTCTTGCAACTTCAGTTTCAAAACCCTAAACACATCTAGGCGATTCACAGAACAAACATCAGCCTAATATGACCTAGCTGAGACTCAGTTCTAAAGCAGAAAGTAGGTTATGCTTGGTTTAACCCCAAACTATGCATTCAGGAAAGCAGAGTTCACGATATTCAAGCACGGATTCATCCTCATCTTGGCCTAGGTGGTGAAGGAGGTGGCAAGGGGAGGTAAGGAGAAGAGAAGGAGGCGAGATGCTCCACGGCGGCTAACCACGCCGAGTTAGTCGATCTCCGGGGGTGATGCTGCGACGGCATATGGCTCCGGGAGGACTCCGGCTCCTCATCAATGTGAAACACCGGGGCAGGGCGGCTGGAAGGGGCGGCTACGGGTCCATCCCAAAGGTAGTGGACTCGCGGCTGCTCCACCGCGCCGGCGGACGATGATGGCTGCTCCGGGGAGTGGCTAGGGCGGTCACTAGAGGGCGGGGATGACGAACGGCATGACATGGTGAAGAGAGAGAGGATGCGGCGATGATAGAGAAATAAAGAGGAGAGAGAGACGGCGGAGAGAGAGTACTACGGCGCCGGAAAAGAGAGAGAAGAGAGTTCTAGGGTTTTTCTGTTCTCTGAAAGTTTAGAATGAAGAAAAAAAATGGGAAGGACTCTCTATTTATACCCAATGGGAGACTTGGGTAAAAAGTAAAGATAACCACGAAAAAGGAAAAGATAATTATGAATAAGAATATTCACAATTCGTTTAGGAAAAAGTTCATTAATATCATATTAAAAATATAATATTTATCTAAACCAGGAATTAATTATCTCTCGAAGGAAAAATGAAATATCGAAAAATAGGAAATGAGCTTAAACCGTCTTAGTCGGGATTGAATTTTTCAAACGGGTCTGGTTTGTAAAACCGGGTCGTTACATTAACAATAGTTATTTTACAGATTTGTAAGAGTTTGAAACACTGAGTTTTACTTTGTATTTGATACTGCTAATGAAATAAACATACTAAATAAACAAAATTGAAATGGAAAAAAAATCTAAATTAATGAGAAAAATAATAATCAAATTTAGTTAAAACAAAAATAATTTTGATTATACTTTGAAGGTTAGTGAATAATACTAAATTTATATACAAATATTAAGTTTTAGATTAACAATTAATTTTTACATATATCAAGTAGATAAATTCTTAAATTAAACCATTATACATTTTTTGATTACGTTAAAAAAATTACAATGTATAACCATATCAAAACAATATTAAAAATTAAATATTATATTTAAAATATTAATTTGAAGTTAAAATAAGTTAACTTAAATAATAATCAAATATCTATATAAAAACAATCCGCGCGTAGCGCGAAAACATCCCTAGTATATATAATGAGCAAGTTATCTCTCCATCTAAGGTGTCCACATCAGCATATTTTTTATTTTAGAATGGGCTTTTAAATATTTTGGGGTTTTTTAAGTTTTTATATTTTGGGTATTTATTTTTGGGCTTTTAATATGATTAATTTGAAATTAAAAATAAATACTTATTTTACAAATCATAAAAATTACAATTTCTTCATTTGTAAAAAAGAGTTTGGAAAGCAACCAAATACAAAAGATTACGGAAAAACTTACATAAAATAATTATCAAACTTTATAAAAAATCTTAGAAAGATTTATATATAAAGCTAAAATAAAATCACATATATAAAACAATACTTATTATACAAACTATAAAAAAACTATAAATTCTCTTTGAAATAAAAAAATACAAAATGCTATTTTGAATATAAACAAACAGAATTTAAAAAAGAGTTAGAAAATGAACAATTATGAAACATGACAAAAGAACTTGCTGAGAATAGTTATCAAACTTATTTAAAAAGGCTCTGAAATATTAATGCTTAAAACTAAAGTAAAATCATTCATATCCAATTTTATGTGTAAAATGAATAAAAGTTTTTCATAAATAAAGTGTTTAATTATATATAGCATGGAAATGAATTTGATTTATACAAAGAAGGAAAAAATAGCAAAAACTTATCATCCATCTTTTTCTCAATGATGATAATATAAAATTGATATGCGATCAATAAAAATAAGATGTAGAAAAAAATTAGAAATCAATTGAATATAAATAAACAGTAAGAACTAAGAACACATATAATATTTGTTGCAGTATAAATGTATGAAATATTTATTTAACGATTAATACATCACAATCTATATTTATTAGGACAACAAAAACATTTAAAAAAATAAAAGATAAATATAACAGACAATAATATTAATTTAATATATATAATATATATAATAGTAATATAAATATATAAAATTTTAGTTAAATTAATAAATAAGTCCGCACAATACGCTGATAAAAATCTAGTGCATTTAAATTAAAGACTTGATTTATCTTAAAAGTTTAGAAAATTAACAAAAAATATACGATTTTAATCGTAATATTTTTCTTGGACACAATTTATATAATATTGTTTGATTAGGACCGACTCCATCTTCTAACTTATAACACAATTTAATTTATAGTTTGGGTTAACTGGATATTGATATTTAGTTGGTATTTATATACCATGATTTTTCTTTCAAGATAAATAACCTTATATTATTATAGATCCATACATTGTCACGAAATAAGTATATATCCATACAGTTACACACTACCATGACTTTTGATTGGTTGCCAAGTCAGAGATATCAATAAAATTTAATTGATCAAGAACAACATTCGTCCTCTCTTACTACTATCCATCTCAAAATGTTACATTATTCATTCCTCATTCATTCTTTATAAACAGTGCGTATAGAAACATTTCTCTGTAAAAAAAAAAAATATATAAACTACATTAGAAATTAAAATTGAATAAATATATTGCTCAGAAAATTTGATGAAGTCTACTAAATAGATTTCTTTTGAAAATTTATGTACGATCAATAAGTTAAGTATCTTATAAAACATAAAAACTGATTCAACCATATCTATAAAATATAAGCTAAGTATCTTAGTTGATATTTTTCTTTTAAGTTATGAATAGAAATAAACAACCTTGTACTATTATCGATCCATACACATTGTCACGAAATAAGTATATATTCATATTTCATACAGTTACACACTAACAAGACTTTTGATTGGTTGCCCAATGGTAAAGAAACAAATTTGAACATACATTATTATATATAGTACATTAAGAAATTTCATCCTACAAAGTTACAAACTCAGCTAAACGGTTTGCATTGAAAGAGCAGGATATTAAAGAAAATACGAGAAAAAACAATATTTGTAATGGAGCAATAAGCTGGTTTTGTTTTTTACACCGAGTACTAATATGGTTTAGGGTCCAGCGGTCCACGTTAATCATGGGTATCTGTCGACATCACCACATTACCACATTCCCATAATTTTATTTTATTAATAAAGTGATGGCCTGATTGTATTAAGTGTTAGCTCGACCAATCGTTTACTAAACTGTACATGTGTGATGTGTCTATAAACTATAAAGTAATCCAAACTTGTGAGTTTGAATGTATGTTTATTTGTTGCTATATAATTATATATGACCATCCATAAGATAACTTATATATGTTTTTTTTTTTTGGTCAAACTGGAACTTAGATATGTTAATATGATCAATGTGTTTCTATCATACAATTCGGTTGACTTTTATGTGTTATGTGTGCGCCAGGTTTTAAGCATTACACAATTTTATGAGTTTGGGAGAGTTTTATTTGTTTTTGTTGTTTTTTTTTCGCCAAGAAGTTTAAAAGTGAAGTGTCTTGAGTTTTGTAGAATTGTAGTGCAGCTAAAAATGAAGAAACACATATCCTCCTTACAATTTTCAAACATTAATTAACCTCATCTCTCGTACATTTTCATAGATAATTGATTTGTACAGAAAACTAACACGTCAGCAGAATCACTCCCACTTATTAACCTTGTCCCATCGTAAATGTTTATATTCCTTTTCTTCATCATCTCTTTGACAACTATTCGTACGATATTTAGCAAGCTACAAGAAAAGGAACAAAAGAAAATTTGTAAGGAAAGAAACATACATCATTGAAGAATTTGTTACATACATCATTGAAGTACTTGTTACTCGCACCTACCAATTTCGTATAATCGTATCCTTAATAGTTTTCATGCATTACATTTAGGACATTGCATGTGAGCATATGAGAGTGACCCTTTTATTTCTTACATATTCATAGTACGAACAATTTAAAATTCACAAAAAATTGCATACAAAAATGTGTTGAAAAATTAATTGACGCCAAAATTTTGATACGTACAACCCCAACGAAAATAATTAAAATATGCTCATCTTTTTAAAAAATGGTTATATCATCATCAAACAGCTTTTGCATCAACTTTAGATTTCAATGTTTTTCTGTATGTCACACAGATTCATAGTTTTACTACATCGGGGTATTGAACCATACAAAGATTAAACCGGAGCAGTTGGCGTCTTGGATTTCAAAATCTTCTGACTCTCCTCGAAGTATTGGTTCGGATGGTTGATACCAGCATCACACGATGTACCGTAAACAGCTTCAAAGGTCAAGGTGCATGCAAGCTTTATTATTGTAGAGTCCACATGTATATGAACAAAGACCATTGTTAATTTTGCTAAAAATCGAAAAAATAAGATTCAAGGTTTAGTGAGATATAACTTAAGATTAATCACCTGATAATGTTTGTTCCGCACTTTATCCATAACATCTTCCATTCCACGAGAACTCAATCCCATTCTTCCAAGTGCTGCTCTCAGGTTATCCTCACTGTCATTTTGTTCCCACAAAACCAAACAGAATGAGATACATTACTTTGGGATTTGCCTAATGATTCACACATCTTTACATATATTATTGTTTCGCTTTAAAGCTATAAAAAAAAGCAAAAGGCAACAACTTCTGTAGAAGAAAAGAAGAAGCCACTTTCACATCCCCAAACTCGCTTTTGCACATATCTATATATAGTTTGAAGGAGGTTCTGTTTCTGTAAAGATGTCCTCCTTATATTGTCTAGTCAAAATATAAACGAAATCTAGAGCGAAAGCTTAAAATGTACAAAGCAAACTGACCTGAAATGTCGATAAGGACAGCCATGATGATCACCAACACCAGGAGCAGATGAAATTATCTTTTGACAAGCATAAGGTGTATAATCCTGCAATTGCAATGTGAATTTGGTATCAGAAGCTTACATGATGAAACTCATCATTGCTGCTTTAGTTGACATAAAGAAGAGATAATGAAACCGTTAGCATCTTACTGTTCTCTTTCCTTCTTTCCCATAGTTATGGCGAATGGAGTACGCATATTCTTTATCAAATCTCTCAGAGCCAACCTAAGAATAAACAGGAAAAAACAAATAAGGATCTAATTGCTCAGTGTTATTTTAGTTTCTGCAGAGAAAAAGTCTCCTCGCTATCTCCTTACTCAAATTTGCTAGTATACACAAGAACATCGTAAACGGGTGAGAGTTGGTATAAACAGGACATAATACACACTAACCTCAACGAGAGACGCATAAGACAGATTTGAAATGTAACAGGTAAAAGATTTGAGAATCAAATTACCTTTTTAGTGAACTCTGCTCTCCAAAATGCTAAGGCGTCATCCAGCTTCAGACCCACACCCTACATGTTGATAGAAAACATTTTGAGAGAGGTACAAATAGAAGACAAAAACATTCAAAAGAACTGGGATTATTTACTACGATGTTTGACCAATAGAAATGTTATTACGTCTAGCCTCAACTCTAGATGTGAATCTATCTGCATCATGTCACATTCAGGAGCGACTAAAATTGACAAGGAGGAGAGAGATCAAAGACAAACCTTCAGAAATAGACCCAGTTGCATTCTTCCTCCATGTTTTAGATGGTGGTCTTCTCGAAGCTGTGTGTAAACGTTCACATGTTACAATTGCATGGGGAGCAGGATATGTATATAATGAAGTATACAAGAATTGAAAGCCGTGAAGCAGCTTACTTTTTCAAACAGATGCCTCATACAAAGTGGAAACGAACTCTTGGCAACTTGATCAATATCCTTGAGTGATATGTCAGCGTACTCATTTGACTGTGGATGCATATTAACAACTTCAATGACTCCAAATCTATAAACGTATATATAACAACTTTCAAGAACAGTCCTCACCTGAGAATAATCAGGACCCAAGTAGCTTGTAGATAAGCCTTCTACTATCTGGACGATAACAATAACAAGTTAAAGAATCAAGCAACAGGGAATAAAACAATTGAATACAGTTCCATTCTTACTGGAGTAAGTCTGTCTTTTTCTCGTTCTCGAATAGTAGTCGTCCACTTTCTGCAACCAAAAAGAAAAATCTTGTTAACTCAGTCCAAATCAAAGCGTGACAGGTATAAGAGGAACTTGAAGGTATTCATCTAGATAACCAGAGTAACCTGTTTGTCAGAATCAGGGCCTTTGATAAGTGAGATCGAAATTGTGTGACAACAAGAGAGACCAACTGGTAGGAGAAATAAGAAAATCCAAGTTATCGAAAGAAGTTTTCCATCTACTGTGGATAAGTTATGTTTTAAAATTGAAAATGGAAAACCAAAAGGTACCTGACTTCCAGCAACAAAGGCATACCCTTTCTGTATAAATACTCTCCGGCCAGCGACAAGGTCAGGAACCTCTTCAAAAGGAACCTTTTTTTAAGGTGCAAAATGAATAATTGATCAGAAAAATGAATGTGTAGCTTGTAGTATATGAACACATACAAAAGAAGAAGCAAAATTACCTTGTAGTATATGGGTTCAACTGCAAATGATAAGAAAGACGAGAAACTTTCCATTAGAAAAAGGTACAAGTTTTACTGCTAAATAGCTCGGAGATGAAGCTAAAATCATATCGACATACAACAAAATCCATCCATGACTAGTTATGGACCGACTCTCGAACTATATACTATTCTCTAAGTCACTAAAGCAGGCCGCTACTATGTTATGCTAATACTTAAGGTTAACACCACTAGATGAAAGACGAGGACAAAAACCAGAGTTAAGAGACAGAAAAGAAGGGATATGAGATTAATGTTGATCATTACTGTCAGGTGAATTTTGACCCAGTGAACGTTCGACTTGCCGCAATTTCTCCTTCAAACTCTGCAAATGGTCAAAAGAACAAATTAGTCCGATTTTGAATAACCACCCAAAAAAAGAAAAGAAAACACACCACAATCTCGGAATTTTCAAGAATAATATTATACTCTGAAGCTAACAATTACCTCAAATTCTGCCCCTGTGACTGCCTTATACGGTAGTCCAAATTCTCCCACAATTGCTCTCTGCAAACCCCCCAAAAAAAAGAAAAGATTTTTTTTTTTAAGCAGCCAGTCTACATCCAGAAGTTCACCAACCAAAAGAAGAAACAGGTACCTGAACTTCAGGCTTTTGAAGCCGGAATCTATGGCGGAAAAGAGCAGTTTCCATGCTAAGAAACCATTTCTTCAGTTCATCCCTTTTAAGCAAAACCCAGAAAGTCAAAAACTTTGGAAAGTAATAACAATCTAAGATAAAAAAAAACAAAAACCCACATGCAGCAAGAAGAGCTTACGATCTACAATAAACGAGACGTAGAACGAAGTGTGAGATTATATCCTTGTTGAACATTTCAGACACATCAGGAACTGTCATATGTTCTTTCCACGAATTGTCTACCTACAATCGAATAATCAAACAAAAACACATTTCGATTGAAATTACAAACAATCTGGAGATTTTTTTTCAGTAGCAATTTAAGAAAATAAAAAATTATGAAACTTTTACCAGATTGTCCATTTCCTTAGGGTTTTTTCCACGGGCCAATCCATCTGAGACTGCTTTCAGAACTATCACAAAGGAACAGATCAATCAACGAATTGATAAAGAAAACAGGACGGATTCAACTCGAATTCGATTCATACGCAGCCAATTTTAGATATAGTTTGATAGAAACCTCGTAGGCGATCTATGGCGAAGAGCTCGAACTCTTCTAATCGGACTTCCATCGGTGGAGCTGTAAGATAGAGCGGGATCGTGGCATTTGAAACGACGTCGCTGGAGGATGCTCGCTTCTGAGGTCGATGCACCTCCATTTTTCTAACTTCTTCTTCTTCGCCGTTCTCTGGGAAGCAGCACGTCAAGCACAGTGCGCGCCAAACAAGGAGTGTCTTTCGAGAAATGCGCGGGAAAAGATGCAGGCTGAGGAGCGGGACATTTTCCTGTTGGGCCTATTAATGGGCTTCGCTGAGCAACAATATTAGCAGAAGAGAACCCAGAACATCGTCTCTACTAAGTACTAATCCATGACTTGGATTAATGGAAAGTATATAAAGTGGCTCTAATCTAGAAACATAAACCCAAAAATCAAGGACAAAATGCATTTTCTATCTTTTTGCTCTATTCACTTTTATTACTTGAGCTTGAAAATTTTCCTTCTCCACAAAACTAAATTCAGATTAATAAATAGATTAACGACTGATCGGAAATTATATCTATTACTAATAAAAGTAGATGCTAAATGCCTTTAAAAGTGTCTACATAGGATTTAAAGATTCAATTCTAGTGGTACACATCATCATTATTTTTAGTTAATTATATATTATATATTAAAATTAATTAATTCATTTTATTTGTTATAAGAAAAGTATCTAAATTTTAATTAATTTTGTTTTTGTTGTTATTAGGAAAGTTTCTAAATTTTAAGTTAGTTATTAATAAAAAAAGAGTTTTGAAAATAGATCTTATTTTTCTATTAACAATTAATAAGTAAATTAACAGATAAATAGATTCTGAAAGAAAAATCGTATATATTAAACAAAATTATTAATAACTGTATTTAAAACCATTATTAAATTATTTTAAAATTTTAATCACGACAAACAATTAAAATCTGAACTGCTAACTTAAAATATATTAGTTGTGGTCCGTATTGATATCTTAGATCAATGAGAGCGTCCACATATGACATATATACTCAATCTGATTAGTCTATATCAGCGTTTTTTATTAAACATAAAAAATAAAAAATAATATTAATAATTTAAGTAAATTAAAACATACAAAAATATAAAATTATCACAACAGAATGGAAAATTAAGATATTTTTTTAACTAAATAAAATAAATTTATGTCAAAAGTATTGTGAAAATAAAATGGAAACTCATTGTCACAAAAACTAAACTAACAAAAACAAATATGTAACAAAAAAGTTAAATTAAAAAAATTAGCATATATATTTTAAATGAGTAATTATTTAGAAAAAAATATTAAGATTAAATTTTCATATAAACATATAAAATTGTTATTTAAAAATATCAATACTACCAAAAACACATTCATCTTAAATTATCAAAAAAAAAGTCATCTAAAACTTATAATTTTTGGGAAAATATTTAAAAAATTAACACAAACTTAACAAACCAAAAATAATACTTTATGCTAATTACTGAAGAAAGCAATATAAAAAATGTTTAACTAACAAAAACCAAAACATAAATTATTTCTTACAACATGTCAATACAATTAAAATAAAAGTCCATATCGAGAAAGTTAAATAAACAAAAAAAGAGGATATTAACTTAATATCTCTGTTATTATTTAACAAAATCAATATAAACAGAATAAGTAAGAGAATAAAAGAACTTAAATAATACTAAAAAACTTAACTAACAAAAATAATATAAATATTTAAGCTAATTATTTAAGAAATTGATATTAAAAATTAATTAACTAAAAAAATAAAATGAAAATTAAGTTTTACAAAATATTACTTTTTAAAAAAACACTTAAAATATATTGACTTGACATATGACTAACTAATTAAAAAATTCATATAAAATATTTAACTAACAAAAAATTTATGTCTTTAAAATATCAATATTTTTAAATCAGTGGTGTGTTAAAATAAAATGAAAATTAATATCAAGAGAGGTAAATTATAAAATGAAAAAGTTTTATAAAGTAAAATTAGCTTGATATTTAGGCTGACTACCAAAAAAATATTAACTAAAACAAATCAAATGATGGTATAAGCTTTTGAGAGAAGTTCACTTAAAATTTAGAATAACCAATTATAGCATGTCAAAATAGAATTTTAATAAATTTAAAAAGTAAATTTAACAAAGAAAAAGTATTTATATAAAAGATATTAGATTAATATATATGCTATCTATTTGAAAAACCAATAAAAAAAGATTAATTAAAAATATATATGTTTTAGGTATATCAAACCTGCAGAAAATTAGATAATTAAAATAAAATATAAAATTCCATCGAAGATATTTAAAATAACAAAAAACAAGATCTAAGAAGCAAATTAGTTTGAAATATAGTTCCAAAAACATTCATGATTTCTAAAATATTGGTGTTTACTATGAATAAACATATAAAATTTTGATAGGTTATACAAGTTTCTAAATCAAACATATTATTTAAATTTACAAAGTTTAATATCTTGGTTGCGTCTGGTTGGAAAATTAACAAAATAAAATACTATACAAGTAACTTTACATTCAAAATACAATAAGTAATAAAGTCTGATTTGTATACATATTTACTGTTTATAACTTAGTCAACATGAACAACACATGAGCAATATCCTCTAAAATTTTATTTAAATAATATAATATAAAAAAGTTATGAATCAAATTGAAATGGGAATACATGAAGATAAAATATTCAAATAGAAACATGAATAAAAAAACAGTGATAATGTGAAGTCTCAACATCATCTTACATGTTTAAAAAAAATATTAGCAAATAATTGACTGCAAGTAAAACAGATCTTATAAACTGAATAGAGATATAACCTAAAATTCGTAGAAGATCTCGTGGAGAAGCAAAAAGCAGCTTTACACGATTAATGTAGCTTACTAACAAAAGTAAATCTGAATCAACATATATCATATATTATATATGTATATGTACACAATATTAGTGAGACATTTAGTAAGGAAACTAAATATTTAAACATATAAACATTCCACAGAAATCCTAAGGATAAAAAAAAACACCAAAAATTTAGTAAGAAAATTATTTTCTAAATCAAACATATGCACATTGAAGTTTTATAATTCATTAGTTGTCATTACTATGATTTTACTTAATAAATTTTATAATTTTATAAACAAAAATAGGAAATACTACATATTATGTATTAATTTTTTATATAAAAGAAAATTTCTATAAGTATATTATAGTTTTGATAATTTAAAAGATATTAGCCAAAAAATTAAACCAAATTATTAATACAGACTTGCGCGTAGAGCGAGTTAAAAGCCTAGTAATTTATAAAAGTTGATGGCATAGTGCATTGAAAGCGTCCACATGGGATTAAGGAACTCGATCTGATTGGTCCACATCAGCATATTCATTAAATAAAAAATGTTAAGTATGATTAAGACGGAAAAAGTTGATTTAATTGGTCCACATCAACTTTTAAATCAAACCAAAAATTATTAAGTATAATTAAAACATTAAAAGTTAATTTAATAAATTATGTCCAACAAAAAAAAGTAAATTCAATCTGATTGATCCGAATCAACATATTTATAAAATCAGAAAATGTTAATATGGTTTAAAAATTTAAAAGTTAAATAAAAAATTAACAATTAACAATACATGTATTAAAAAGTAACCATTATCCATTATCAATTTTAAAAAAATCCACAACAACTCGATTTAACAATTAAAATAAAAGATTCTGAATAAAAATATAACATAAAACTCTTGGAAGACATGATGGAGAAGGAAAAAATCGTTTTGCATGATCATTACAGCTTCCTAACAAAATTAAATATGAATCAACATGAATCATTGATTATATATGTAGTGGTACACAACATCAATAAGACTTTCAATAAAAAACTAAATATACGAACACATAAACTTTTAAGAAAAAAAGAACTATAGAAATTCTATGGAAAACAAAAAAAATAATACCAAAATCTTAGCAAGATTATATTTCTCTAAATCAAATGTATATGTATGTCAAAGTTGGATAATTTGATAGGTGTCATTGTAATTATTTTACCTAATAATTTTTTAAAGTTTATTAATAAAAATAGGATATATTACATTATTATATAGTAAATTTTCTTATATAAATGAAAATTTCTATAAATATATATAATTTTCAATAATTTTAAAGATAATAGCTAAAAAAATAAACCAAAATATTAATACAGACTAGCGCGTAGCGCGAGTTATATACCTAGTCTATAATATATAAAAGTTGATGGCATAATGCATTGAGGACGTCCACATGGGACTAAAAACTCGATCTGATTGGTCCACATCAACAATTTCATTAAATAAAAAATGTTAAGTATGATTATGACGGAAAAACTTGATTTAATTGGTCCACATGAGCTTTTAATCAAACCAAAAATTGTTAAGTATAATTAAAATATTAAAAGTTAATTTAACAAATTATGTCCAACAAAAGAAAGTAAATTCAATCTGATTGATCCAAATCAATATATTTATTAAATCAGAAAATAATATGGTTTAAAAATTTAAAAGTTAAATAAAAAAATTAACAAGTAACAATACATGTATAAAAAAGTAACTATTATCAATTATTAATTTAAAAAATTCTACAACAACTCGATTTAACAATTAAAACAATGAAAACTGAATAAAAATATAACATAAAACTCTTGGAATACATAGTGGAGAAGGAAAAATGGTTTTGCATGATCATTACAGCTTCCTAGCAAAATTAAATGCGAATCAACATGAATCATGGATTATATATGCAGTGGTACACAACATCAATAAGACTTTCAATAAAAAAACTAATTATTTGAGCACATAAACCTTCAAGAAAAAAAGAACTATAGAAATTCTATGAAAAAACAGAAAATAATACCAAAATCTTAGCAAGAAAACATTTCTCTAAATCAAATGTATATGTACGTCAAAGTTGGATAATTCGATAGGTGTCATTGTTATTATTTTACCTAGTAGTGTTTTTAAATTTATAAATAAAAATAGGATAAATTACACATTATTATATTAAATTCTCTTATATAAATGAAAATTTAAATAAATATATTATATTTTTAATAATTTTAAAGATAGTAGCTAAAAAAAAATTTAACCAAAATATTAATACAGAGAGTTATATACCTAGTGTGTATATAAAACAGCCG